GAATGAGGTGGTGATCTAGATGAAATTTGAATGGTTGTATGTGAAACAATTGCTCTATAGAAACCCTTGAGATTTATTGTCGTTCGGATACACAAGTTTATGCTTTGTCATAGTGTGTAATGTTACACAGTGCAAAATAGGGACGTTTAGCAAGTCTGCAAAGTGAGGAGTTCGCGGACTCTGTTCTACCTTCGAATTTCTAGAAGCCTGAAGCCTGAAGTCTGGTGAATTCGTGTTTAGCAAGCCTGCAAACTACACGAACACATATGTTCCTGGGTGCCCAATAAAATGTTTCTCATTCTCCAAAATGCAATCCGAGCAACAGCGACTGATCCATCGAAGCCGTGTGCCTCTGCGCCTCAAGTTTGCCCTTTTGCGCCGAAGAGGCCACAGTGCTCAGCTAACAATACCTAATGTGAACTTCACGTTGGAAACTTTCACCGACGCCGACTGCCTCGCAAAATTTCGCTTCTCCAAGACAACCCTGCGGTCCCTTGTGTCGTACCTTCGCATACCACCGCGCGTCATCACCCCCGAACGAACAGCATGCACTGGTGTCGAGGCGCTTTGTATCCTGCTCCGTCGTTTCGCCGTACCAGATCGATGGTCCGACCTCGTCACGATGTTTGGCCGCTCTCGAAGTGGCCTGTGCAATATATTCTTGCACGTGCTCGACCACATATATTCCAAATTTGCCGAGATCATATATCTCGACCGCGACCGCATCAGTACCAAGCTCCCCCAGTTTAGTCAATCGGTTGTTGCCAAAGGAGCAGAAGTCCACAACGTTTGGGCGTTTATCGATGGGACCGTTCGGGAGTGCTGCCGGCCTGAGGTTGACGAGCGTCAACGGACCGTGTATAATGGACACAAACGACGCCACGCCGTTAAATTCCAGACCCTGGTGACCCCCGATGGAATCATTGCCCATGCGTACGGTCCGATCGAAGGTCGTCGGCATGACCTCACAATTCTCCGTCGTTCCGATTCGGAAAGCGTGATTGCTGGGGATGATCGGTTTCGTGGTTTTATCGTGTATGGAGACCCGGCGTATGGTTACCCAGACCAACTTGCCTCACCGTTTGGTGGAGCGCGCTTGACAGATGCCCAGCGAAAAGTGAACAAGAGCATGAGTCGGGTGCGCATAAGTGTGGAATGGTCCTTTGGCCAAGTTCTACAATACTGGCCAATTGTGGACTTCAAAAAGAAGATGCGTATTGGAAATAGCCCCATTTCCAAGATGTATAAGGTCGCCGTGCTCTTGACAAACTGCATTACGTGTGATCGAGGTAGAAATACAAATAGTGCGTACTTTGGTTTACCACCACCATCACTAGAGGAATATTTGCATGTTAACAACGAATAGATTCCAACAAGTTAAAAATGGATTTTGTTATTTCGACTTCTCAACAACAACTTGAATCAACTTTCCCATGTCGATCAAAAGACGTTCAAGTTGGTCGTTGCGCTTCGCACTTTCAGACATTTGAGCCAAGCGAATCTTTTGCTCTTCCTTCTCAAATTCGAGGCGCTCCATTCTATAGAAATGATCATCAGAGTGCTTTTGCTTTTCAAATTCAAGGAGTTCGAGTAGAGCCGTGTCGGACTCCTCCTCTTTTTTTGCCTTCCC